TACTGCCCTATGCAGCATCACGATATGTGCTGATGATATCTGACATGACAGTCTGACATGGTGATATGTTGCCGTACTGCTCGACATTGCTGAGACATATCCTAAAACACACTGGACTTGCAATCGCAATAGGCCTGACACTGCCTGACATGATATCACAACGCATCCTGATCGGTGTGTGCAACAGTCTAGTGACAGAATACGGTCTGACAGCCTCATGATGTTACTGTGTGACATAGCGTTGCGATGTGTTCTGATACTGAACACAGTTTTGTGATATTCTGTAGTGTAGACAGTCACAGTGTCGCGATATGTCCTGATATTGCAGGATGTAAAATGCCACCACAAGAAGCCCAGTATACTTGTTCCTGTTCTCTTTCCCAGGGAGAGGTCTTCCGGGTAAATTCTAAATGTGAAGTTACGCTTAGAAACGGGGCTGCATTTCTATGTGAATTGTACAAATTGGAACACCTGCAAGAACAGTTTTACTCAAGTCATTTGTTCATTAACCCAGCAGAAGGTAGTTTCGATGGAGTGTGATGTCTTTTAGAGTGCAGTCTGGTATCGTGGCATAAACCCCGATATGTGATGACGTGACCCGCCACAGAGTTCAGCTGCCTGAAATACTGTGATAGGGTGTTTCGGTGACCTGTAATGCACGAGCTGGTTTGTCTCACAGTGCCCTGCGCCATGCCCTCTGCTGGACAGGAGGCGCACCGCTGGGGCCTCATCGATTCCCCGCCCTGACACCCTGACACCTCAGCACACGAGGGAGCCCAGCAGCACAGGCCTCCTTTCTGCATGTCGCCAGGCCGGCAGACCGCACTGCAGGGGTCGAGCCGCGTGGGCGGGTCAAGGCAGGATACAGACACCGCCACACCGCCTACCTAACAGCCCGGACGTCACAGGAGGGAGCGAGCACATCAGACATGAATGAAGAAATAAATTAAATAAATAAAACTCCAGAACCAAAACACGTAGGATATTTACTCTGGAGAGCCTCGATCGATAATACTGAAAGGAATTCACATCTGTCCCCTTGTATTGCACCAGCCGGATCGTACCTTGTTGAACGCTAAATAAACTAAAACAAAATATACAAATTAATGAGAATTAGTGTCACCGACTGTGTTCACAGCCTCTAACGCCCTGATCTCTTCGAGTGTCTGTGGTGGACAAAGTGTAAAAAGAACTCTCTCTCTCACACACACACACACCCTCCCTCTCCTGCTCACACTCTCTCACTCTGTGCACTCTGGGTAAGAAATTCTATTGATTCGCTGGCATGCAGTCTGGGGGCGGGCGCTGGGCCAGGCCTGTCACTCACGCCCCTCATCTGAAGAAACACTGCCATCACCTGCCCTCCAGGGGGCGCTCTTCACTTCAACGGGCTGTCCGGCTCTCCCTAACCCTTGAGGTTCGAGTGGGGAGCAGCATCAGTGCGCACTGGCCACCAAGGAACAAGCTGAGGTCAAAGGTCAATTCCACCCAGGACAGCAGGGATGAGCCGTGGAGCTGCTCCTGGTGTGAAATTGACCTTTGACCCCCACATGCTGCCCCCTAGTCCTAGTCCTGCAGAGCCTCAGGCCTTCAGGTCTGGCCTGAGCCTCCTGTCAGCGCATGCAACTTTAAACCAGTTGGCATTGATGCATTAAAACGATAATCGCTTCTCAACTGCCTGCGCTGCACGAGCTGTCACACTGATTGAACACGGCACGCACAGCTGGCACGCGCCATCACTCTGAGGCTCTAGCACCGCACACCGATGTGCTTTCAATGTCAGCTGCTGACTTCCCCAGCACCGCTCTGTGAGCAATGACGCCGCCCAGGCCTGATCACTCCACTGAGCCACTAATCGTCAGGTCCCAGAAGCTCAGCCAGGCTGGGGAGACCTGCCCGCTGGACCTGTAGGTGGCGCAATTCCCTCTGGAAACGGGCTGTAAACCTCGGTGTCCTGGCTCCGTTCCCCTCGGGGCTGTACAATCCGGGCTTTCTCCCTCCGTCCCTGATCTGTGTGCTGTGGGGCGGCTCTGTGTCTCCCAGGTGAGGGCAGCACTGCAGGGGGGATGGAAGTGGCTCTGGAGTTTCCCACTCAACCCCTCTACTGCACACAACACCTTTGTGAACTGTCCTGACAACAAAGCCCGACAGGACCTGGTTCCTGGTTCATACTACAGTTCTGATGGGCTGGGAAACTCTCTCATGTCAGTTCAGTGTGCAGATCTCTGGTATGATGCCCCCTGCAGGATCCCAGCCCCACCTACAACCTTGGGGTCTGCTGCACGTCCCACAGGAGTGACTGCAGACACCCAAACACAGCAGAGAGGAATGTCATTATTCATCAGTGTAACAGCTTGTGGATAGGGGGAAATATGGCCCTCAAGGTACGTAGATCTTTTTAAGCCAGTGGTTTCCACTCCTGGTACTGGAGGAATGCTGGTTAAGGTCTTCATCACAGTCTGATTGATTTCCCTTTACAGGCATGTCTGATACAGAGGCATCTCCTTTACAGGTGTGTCCAATACACA